AACTTGTGATTCGGCGTTCGACATCAGTTTCAGGAATTAAAATATTGTCAGTTGCACGTCGCTGTGTTTCAGTTAGATGTTGTAGCCAAGATGGGCCTTGCCACCACAAGGATGAATTCAATAAATCATGTGTATAGCACCCGCGTGATATGAGGTTCGCTGGATTGTCTTCCGATCGGACATGTAGCCAGTTATTTGCGTCGGTTTTTGTTTGAATATCAGAAACTCTATTGGGAACGAAGGTTTTTCATTTATAAGATGGAGATCTTATCCACGAAAGAGTTATTGTGGAATCGCTCCAATAGAATTCTTTGTAAAACGCGATATTTAATGCACGTTTCGTTATTTGCGCAAGATTTGCTAGTAGTTGTGCCGCACAAAGCTCGAGACGGGGAAGTGTAATATTTTTTAATGGTGCTACTCGAGATTTTGCCGCTATTAGTTTGATTTTGATTTCAGAATATTTGTTAATACACCGTACATATATACACGCGCCGTAAGCTTGCTCTGATGCGTCAGCAAAGCCATGTAATTCTGCGTTTATACGATTATTACAAAATATATGTCCTTCAATTTTCAAGTTTTTAATAGATTTTACTTCGAAACAAAACTGATTCCATTTAATTTCTAGTTCCGAAGGAATGGGCTCGTCCCATGATAAGTTTAATCGCCATAGGCTTTGAATTATTAGTTTTGGTATGACGATAATTGGAGATAAAAAGCCCATAGGATCATACATTTGCGCTGTTGCCGATAAAATTGATCTTTTGCTAACTATTTGATTTATTTTTATATTTTTGTAGTCAAATTCAAAACTGTCTGTTACCGAATTCCAAGATATACCTAAAGTTTTGATAGTTTGTTCGCCGATGTTTAAAGTTGGATTATCTGCATTTAAATGTTTTGAATAATTAGAATTAAATTTATATAGATTGAATTTAGCTTGTTGTAAAATATTACAAAGGTTATTTTTAATAGTGAATAATTCGGATATGTTATCAGTTCCAGTTAATAAATCGTCAACGTAGAAATCATTTCTGAGAATTTCGCATTCCTTCGTATAGTTAGTTATGTTTTCTCTGGCTAACTGCTCCAAACAGCGTATGGCTAAAAACGGCGCAGAAGCTGTCCCGTATGTTACTGTATTTAATTGATAAATTTTTAATTTGCTGCTAGGATTGTCCCTCCAGAATATTCTTTGCATTTTTCTGTCGTTTTCGTGAACCAAAACTTGTCTGTACATTTTTTCTATATCGGCTGTAAGTACAAACGCATGTCTTCTGAATCTTAGTATGATAGAAAAAATATTATTTTGAATTGTGGGTCCAACAAGTTGTAGTTCATTCAACGACATGCCTGTATCGGTTTTGCAAGATGCATCGAAAACTACGCGCAATTTCGTTGTTAAACTGTCTGGTTTTACCACCCCGTGGTGAGGCAAATAGAAACACGTCGCGGGTTCAGAAGATTCGTTGACTTCGCTCATGTGCCCTAGTGTTATATAAGTATTTATGAAATTTTTGTATTCGTTAAATAGATTTTTGTTTGTTCGTAAGCGGTTTTCAAGTGAAATAAAACGTTTGACCGCGATTTGCTTACTATTCCCTATTTTCTTTATATTGTCAGTAAACGGAATTTTAACTATAAATCTTCCGTCGTCTGCCCGCGTTGTATTGGCAACAAAATGCTGTTTGCATTGTTTTTCTGATTCGGTAAAATGTTGTATAACGCTGCACGCTTCCAGTTCCCAGAATTTTGATTTCCTAAATTAGCCGTATGATGACATATCGTAAATGAACTGGAATTGTTGATAGGTACGCTGCCAGCCATAACCCACCCGAACTGTGTAATTTGCAAAATAGGTCTATTTTTTCCTAGATGAATATATCCTTTACAAAATATATTCCAAAATATTTCCGAACCTATTAAAATATCGATTTTATTGCTTTTATTAAATGTGGGATCCGCTAATTTTACATAATTTGGGATATTTAAAATATTTTTATTGAATGACACCGTCGGCAAATTATTTGTTATATTATTTAAGATAAAGCAGGATAGATCTAATAAAAAGTTATTATTGCAGGATTTTAAAGTAATTGTTGTTTCTGACTTAATTTCCGTTGAATTTTGATTTATTCCCCGGACTGACATATTTATTGATTGTTTATGTAAACCGAGCTTATTAGCAAATTTCTCCGTGATGAAATTGGATTGTGATCCCGAATCTAATAATACTCTACATGCTCTATAACTATTATTGCTATCTAATACATTAATTACTGCGGTAGATAAGATGATTTGACTTGAATCATTTTCGGTATGGCACTAAACATTTTGTGGTGCATTATTAACAGCTTGTAATTGGCTTGAGTCTATATGCAGAAGACTATGATGATTTGAATTACAAAAGGTACAACGATTTAAAGAAGTACATTGATTGCTATTATGATTGTAACGTAAGCAATTCGTGCATAGTTTTAATTGATTTACTTTGCTTACTCTATCTTCTGGAGATAGTGTCCGAAAACCTTGACATTTGAACGGTGAATGAAATGGCTCTTTGCAAATTAGGCAAATATTTTTGTGATTAGTGGATGTAACGTAAGACTTTGTTTGCTTTGTGTAATTAGGTTTTATATCTTTAAATTTATTGGAGTTTCCGATTCTTGTTTCAGTCGGATTAATTGCTTCTAATATTGTGCAGCGTTGATTTAAAAAATTGCTAAGTTCGGAAAATGTAACTAGTTCAGAGCCTTTATTCATTAACATCTCCCACTCTTGATGAGTTTTCTTATCAATTTTAGAAATTACAAGATAATTTAAAAACGCGTGCCATTGATCGACGGGTTGTTGTAACATTTTTAAGCATCTTAAATGTTTATTAAACGCGTCTATTAGATTACGAAGGTCTTTACCTGATTCGTTATGCATGGCCGGGTGGTCGAATAATTTTTTGATGTGATTGTTTACGATTAATTTCTTATTTTCGAAACGCGTTTTCAGTAAATCCCACGCAATTATATAATTATCGGCAGTTGCCGATAGAGATTCTATAAGGCTTGCCGCCTCTCCTTTTACGCATGATTTTAAATAATAAAATTTTTGAGAATTACCGATGTTACAATCATTATGAATTAAAGAAGAGAACGAATCATAAAATTGTAGCCAATTTAAGTAAGAGCCGTCAAACTGAGGTAAATTGATTTGAGGTAGTTTTATGTTGTTCGAATTATTTGTTATAGTGGTATCATTAGAATTACTATTTGAACTAGTATCTGACATACTTGATGCTGCCTGACTAAGTTTAAGTAAAGTTGATAAACATTTATTATGTTTTTCAAAAAATTCATCTAACTCTATTTCTATTAAATTATTAATTTGACTTTCGTCTTCTAGTAATGCTGTTATACTAATTACGGTATTTTCAAAGATTTCAAACAAAGGCTTCACATCATCGATAAGGCGTTTTATGTCTGCAATATTTAAGTCGCAAGCAGGTAGTTCCGATATTTGCCTGCATACTTTTTCGTATTTTGTTAAACGTGTTTTAGTAACTTGCTGTTTCATTTTGAGTTTATTTAATGATTCCATTTTGACACAGATTGAATTAAAACTCTAAATATTAAATAAGGAAAGATTGATAGGAAGGAATGCTTGACTAACCTGATATACTCGCTGCTTGCTGTGCTCGCTCGTAGGTGTAGCGCCAAAGTTAGAACTTCCTGTCTTGTTTTGCACTTTCACTTTATTTTATTTTGAATTTAGATTTCAGATTTTAATTATTTTCTTCGCACTGGTGACCGCATCCGGTTCGTTTTGGACCAATGTTTTTTGTTGAAGTGTAAGCTCAAGGACCAGATAGAATTAGTGGCCCTATCAACCGTTTTAAAATGTAAATATTGATTAATAACAAGTAGATTTACACTTATTTATTTGTAGAATATAATTTACACTGTTTGTATGATATTGTTTGAGTATTGAAATAATATTGGAATATTTGAATGTGGAGCTTGGCGACCGGGTCTAGACTATATGTGCCGCCTTCAGGTACCTAGCAAGGACCCTTCGTAGTTGAATCTTGAGGTGCAAACTGTCCAAGCGTCGTTGCAAATGTAATATTTTCTTAGAAAAATGAGTGCAGCGTTGCCACCCCTAATTTGGCGTGAACATATGTAATGACAAGAAGGATTCATAAACAATGCCATAATTTAAGGAATAAGTCGTACAAAAAGTCTCGAAAGGTATACTATTTTTTGGGACAAATATTTATTTTGCCATGTCCTCAAACATTGAGAAAGTTGCATTCAGAGATACAAGAGTATAGCAGAATTTATGAGTGTCTATTTAAAACATTAGGTTCAGCTATTTCTCTTAAAAAGTATTAGTAGCAGATACTGTGTTTTGATGTTTGGTGAAATACCATAATCTTCGGAATTGTTATATGATTGGATTGAATCTCATATTGTTGATGTTGCAAAACAGTTATTCAGTATTGGTTTAAATGTTCATCAACGTAAGTTCATTGTTATATTTAATAAGATTATCTATTACATTAGCAAATATAAACACTTATAAAGAGAGTCTATCTCATACATAATATTTTAATGTATTTTGATGGAAGATTAGTGTTATAATATTCTTCAAATAAAACTTGTGCAACATCCCAATATAATGTTTAAATTCAAAATATATTTGTTACCGACCTTGTGAATCAAAAATATTGCTTTTATCTTTTGATTCATAAACAATTGTATGTGCATAAAACATTATTCTGTTCATTGTAAACACTTTGTTGATCTTTTATGGCAATTTCAATGATAATATTTTCATGATAAAACATGGTTAAATTATGGCCGGTCGTGGTCCCGTGGTAAGAACGTGGGCTAGCAAATCCTAGTCCCGGGTTCGAATCCAACCTCGGTCGATTCGGTATAAAATCAGCTTTATACCAAATTTTCACTTGAAATCGTAGATTTCAAATATGATTTCAAGTGAAAATGGCCTTTCGTGGGCACAGCTGTAGCGGCAACATGCCACTTGGAAGTAAAGAGGTACATACTAAGATTGTATCGCTTTGAAATACAAAGGAAGTCGAGTTGTATCCCTATACAACAAAAAATGTAAGGACTCTGACATCGTGCAACCATGATTGAGTGCATTTTCAACTCAACCCACGGACCTGCCCTTGGAAGAAATATCCGTAAAAAAAAGAAAAATGTAATAAACAGTGAAAATATGTAAAGAAAAAGTAAAATATCTGTAGTATGTAAGATAAAAAAAAAAAATAATTAGTAATAGAGAAAAAAAAATGTAATGTTATAAAACACTCGTACAGAAACTGTTCAAAGGTTTCGTTAAATGCAACTTACTATTAATTCATTAGATAGCAAAATAACATGCAGAATTAATAAAGAACAATGTCTCGTAAATGAGTTTTAATCCTAGTAATTTGGATTTCTCTCAATTTTGATATCAATATATATATATATATATATATATATATATATATATATATATATATATATATATGTGTATATATATATTATGTTTCTAGGACTTTTTAACGAAATCTTTGAATAGTTTCTGTATGAGTATTTTACAACATTACATTCAACCATGTTTCATCATGAAAACATTAGAATTGAATTTGCCATAAAAGATCAGCAAGGAGTTTACAATGAACAGAATAATGTTTAATACACATACAATTGTTTATGAATTGAAAGAGAAAAACAATATTTTTGATTCCCAAGGTCGGTAACAAATATATCTTAAATTTAAACATTATATTGGGATGTTGCTCAAGTTTTATTTGAAGAATATTATAACACAAAATATTATGTATGGTATAGAGTTGCTTTATAAGTGTTTATATATATATATTATATATATATATATATATATATATATATATTATGTTTTTAGGACTTTTTTGTTTGTGAAGTATTTGTACTTTTTAACAAATTATTTGTTTTTTTTTAACCTTTTAAATTTTTGTATTATTTGTCATTCCTTCTAAATTTGTAATTTCATCGTGTGCTCCTGTGCTTGTAGTTTCTACTTAGTTTTTAAGATGTTAATATATTAATATTAGTCATTAAGTAATTAATATTAGTCAGTTATTTCTGTTTAGTTTAGTTAAATACTTCTGTGGTTTTCTCCACATAGATCTTTAGTTTTTGACATATTATTTAAGCATAATTGTGGAATTATAATACTTATAAGTATGTATAATAATTATTATATTTTCATACATTCCATAACTGTAATTATAATTGTTAATATAAACATAATTTTAATTGTTCTTTAAACATATGTAATATCTTCGAAAATATATATTTTGTATTTCGTATGATTTGTTCTTATTTCCAATATTAAAAATTATTCAGGTTTTTGGGGCTGTATACGATACGTAAAAATTAAGGAATAATACCAGGGGTTAATTTAAATATTATACATGTGCTGCCATCTATTTTTAAAAATTTGTATTTCAATCGAGGTAACGTCAAATCGCCAGACATAGCGATCTATTATACTTGTTTATCTATGGTATATAAGGTCTATGGGAAAACGAAAATAATCCAATCACTAAGTGCATAGATCAGCGATGTCCAACCTAAATTACTCTTTGGGTCAAAATTTAGGAATATACCAGGCACTGAGCCGCAACAAATCTGGAAAAACTAGTGGTGCATGGCATCGCGCCTTAAGGCAATTTGATGGAAGTTCTCGTACCGTAATACCAAACTTTTAAAAGCTTTAATATTTTTGAATATTTTGAAAAAATTAGATTTTTGAAAATCTTGAAATTATTGAAAAAATGGACTTTTTTGAAAAAAATGTTTTTTTCTGTATTTTAAAACTGTATTATATAAATCTATAAATAGATCGCTATGTTCTAAGTGTCATGAGGTGGGACCATGATGGGACAACACGGCTTTAAACATAGATAAACAAGTATAAATAGATCGCTATGTCTGGCGATTTGACGTTACTTTGATTGAAATACAAATTTTTAAAAATAGATGGCAGCACATGTATAATATTTAAATTAACCCCTGGTATCACTTCTAAATTTTTACGTATCGTTTAGAGCCCCAAAAACCTGAAGAATAATTTATATTGGAAATAAGAACAAATCATACGAAATTCAAAATATATATTTTCAAAGATATTACATATGTTTAAAGAACAATTAAAATTAGGTTTATAATAACAATTATAATTACAGTTATGGAATGTTTGAAAATATAATAATTATTATACATAATTATAAATATTGTAATTCCAAAATTATGCATAAATAATATCTCAAAAACTAAAGATCTAAGTGGAGAAAACCACAGAAGTATTTAACTAAACTAAGCAGAAATAACTGACTAATATTAATTACTAAATGATTAATATTAATATATTAAAATCTTAAAAACAAAGAAAAAACTACAAGCACAGGAGCACGCCATGAAATGACAAATTTAGAAGGAATGACAAATAATACAAAAATTTAAAAGGTTAAAAAGAATAGATTATTGGTTAAGAAGTACAAATACTTCACAAACAAAAAAGACCTAAAAACATAATATATATTGTTATAAAAATTGAGAGAAATACAAATTCCTAGGAATAAAACTAATTTATGAGACATTGTTCTTTATTAATTCTGCATTTAATAGTTATTTTGCTATCTAATGAATTAATAGTAAAGTTGCATTTAACGAAATCTTTGAATAGTTTCTGTATGAGTATTTTACAACATTACATTCAACCATGTTTCATCATGAAAACATTATCATTGAATTTGCCATAAAAGATCAACAAGGAGTTTACGATGAACAGAATAATGTTTTATACACATACAATTGTTTATGAATTGAAAGAGAAAAACAATATTTTTGTATCCCAAGGTCGGTAACAAATATATCTTGAATTTAAACATTATATTGGGATGTTGCTCAAGTTTTATTTGAAGAATATTATAACACAAAATATTATGTATGGTATAGACTCGCTTTATAAGTGTTTACATTTGCTAATGTAATAGATAATCTTATTAAATATAACAATGAACTTACGTTTTTTTTTTTTTTTTTATTAACTCTTTTATTTACAACTGTCCAGTATAGGACATTCAGTAAATTTAATGGATTTACAATAGTCCGCCGAAAAGGTACATTGTATACTACTTTGACTTGTTGGAAAAAACAACTCAGTAGTTGCTTTTTCGATATAAAATTTACAATATTTACTTATTAAATAATTTCTTATAAATAATGATTAAGTTATTTCCATTTTTTTTCTCAGGAGAGTTGATTGCTTAAATCCAGTGGCGCTTTTCTTTTCAACCTTCTACGATAGTTCTCTGTTATCAATGAGTTTGCTAATGTATTTGGGTGATTGATTAGCTTGTTTCTATACTTCTGTGCTGTTTTTGTTATTACTTCATATATGGTAAGTGTATTCGTGTCGGCATGAGTTAACCAGTTGGGAACATATTTTGAAGCTCCTAAGGCAATTTTCAAAAATTTGTTTTGAAATTTCTGTATAATTTCTATATTGGTCTTATGAGCACTGCCCCACAATTGTATACCATAACACCAAATTGGTTTGAATAAAGTTTTATATAAAAGTAGCTTATTGTATGCGCTTAGTTTGGATTTAGTTCCTAGTAACAAGTAAAGCTTTTTGGTTTTTATCTCAAGCTGTTGTCTCTTTTTTTTTATATGAGTTCGCGAATTAAGTTTTCTATCGAGGTATATGCCGAGATATTTCACATGGTCTTCTTGAGGTACTTGAGTATTTCCTATTCTTACTGGTGGGCAAGTCTCTCTTCTTACTTACGTTGATGAACATTTAAACCATACTAGCTGAATAACTGTTTTGCAACTTCAACAATATGAGATTCAATCCAATCATATAACAATTCCAAAGATAATGGTATTTCATCAAACATCAAAACACAGTATCTGCTACTAATACTTTTTAAAAGAAATAGCTGAACCTAATGTTTTAAATAGACACTCATAAATACCGCTATACACTTGTATCTCTGAATGCAACTTTCTCAATGTTTGAGGACATGGCAAAATAAATATTTGTCTCCAAAAATAGTAGACCTTTGGAGACTTTTTGTACGACTTATTCCTTAAATTATTGCATTGTTTATGAATCCTTCTTGTTATTACATACTGCATTCCTTGGTTGTCAAAAGTACTCCTGCGCTTTGTTCGTGCATTTTGCAGCAATTTGCAGGTACCCCCAAGACACCTATTCAATATAATAACATGTTGACATATCTTGATTATATATAATTATTGCTGCAGTTATTATTAAAAAAATACCTTTGCGGAAACTTGTATTGGAATAGCTAAATATTTTAACCTGCACTTGACACTTTTTTGGGTACTATAAAAACACTTTGCCATATTAAATTTCACAAATGTTCACTCAAACAAAATTAATTAATTAGAAACAACACGAGTTCAAAAAGTTAGGTTATTCGTACAGCCATACAGCGATCAAATACTTGACAGCCACTTGCATGAACCACGAACAATTTGTAGTTGAAATTGAGTGCACATGAGCCATCTGTTTTTAAAAATTGAAACTACTCAGGACCATAACAGCGCAACGCGCATTTGTTCGAAGATAACTCCCTATGTGTAAATCCGTACAAATGCAACGAAAACGCCAACGTGAAGTTGAAGCTTACGACGCTAGTTAGCGCAGATGTCGCGAGTATCCACTCCCGTCATGTCATGTGTAAAGGTGCGACCAAACCTAAAGGTGCGCCACACCTAACGAACGAACACGAACGAACATAAAAGAACGTACCAGAACGAACGGCAACAGCATAGTGTGGACGCCACAACGATCACGAACGAACATAAACAAACATGGCGAGCAATGTTCCGCAACTTGTCGGTACATCAAAGGGAATTGTTCGTTCATGTTTGTTCTCGTATGTGCAGTGTGGACGCTACCACGAATGTAGACAAACATTTTTCTTTTTTGATGTAAAAATGTGCAGTCCTGCATTAGTTTTTGTTGTGTTTATAATAAGATATTGATGTTATTGACAAATTTTGTAAATTTGATGACTTTAAATAATTTTGCTCTTTCTCGCCACTTTAAATAATAAATATGACGTTTCACGGTACATCCTCGAACAAAAAGATTCAAGCCCTCACTGCTTTGAGGCGTTTGTTTGGAATTTTTTGCGTTCGTTCGTGTTCCTGTTCGTTCTTCTTTGTATTTTCTTGTTCGACATGTTCGTTCGTGTTTGTTCGTTAGGTGTGGACGCACCTTAACGAACGAACACGATCGAACATAAATGAACGTACCACAACGTCGAACGCTAAACCCTATACTGTGCACTGTGCCGGTAAATCTCGTAAATCCCCATTACGTTCGTAGTTCTTTTAGATATAATTTTCGATTAGTTGGTGAAGTTTAAAAATTGTTAGTAGTTTAAAAATGACTTGTCACGTTCCTGGTTGCGTAGGAAATAAGAAAACAGTGAGATTACATGGTTTTCCAACAAGGTATGCAAAATGTAATATTATGTTTCTTCAATAGGTTATAAATGAAAAAGAAAAATATTATAGATGTATGAGATTTGGATTAGGCGAATGAATAATCCAAAATTGGATGATGTGGAGATTGAAAAAATGTTTTTTGAAGTAATTTGTATTATTCGAGTTTTTCGAGCTGAATAGATGGACTGCTAATTGATCGCATAAAAAGTGTCAAAAGATTTTCTATGGTATGAGGGCATATGAGGGTAATTTCGCGGCCGAGATATGTCAAATACGAACATGAGCTTTACCGAGATTAGTCGAATGCTCTCGATCGCTTAAATTTTACAGTTACTTGGATTCACGAGATGTTTGATCGCTCGTGTTTTTTACCTAAGAGGATAAAAATACGCGTTTTAAAATTGTTAGTAGCAGACAAAATCTAATAAGAAGTAAAATGTCTTCTAAAATGTGTTTGGGCTGTGGTAAAATGTACTTAACAAATAGAATGCACCATGAAGAACATAAAAAAGCAAACTTGATAAATATGTACGCCACTTTCACACGAAAATTGTGCTTTTTAAACACCAATAATAAATATATTACATTTAAACAAATATTTCATTATTGCTTTCTAATTTCCCATAATAGCTCTAGCCAACTTTTCTTATTTTTAGTGAATTTTATAATATGTAAAATATTTTTTATTTTTTTTTTCTAATTTTCCTTAAACATTTTGTATAACTGAAATAAATAAATAAATAACTAAAGAGTTCATTACATTCATTAGTTTAACATAAATTGTATATTATATAATATTTTCCCAACAATTTCGAACACACGGACTTTCATTTGACGCATCCATAGAACATCTTTTGACACTTTTGTACCTGAGAAATGTATGGGGACTAGCAGTCCATGAGTCCATGTATATAAGGTCTATGATGGGGACTAGCAGTCTACGTATATAAGGTCTATGGGCCCTGGTCGTAGCCATAGATAAATAAGCATAAAGCGTAAAGGTCGTAGCGTAGAATCCAGAGAGTATATTTGGTAAAATAAATGTTTTGAAAAGATTACTGCATCGTGTTTTAGTTATTCAATTTATATAAGATTTCCTGAAAAATAAATAAAGATAATTATATATCTTATATATAAAATTCTTCTGTAATAGGGTATGAATGGTTAATTCTCTTAAACTATTATTTGGATTTTCATAAATCCTCGTGAAATTTGTTAAGGGAATTTTCTAGGAAATTTTGATTCATAGAAATATAGTTAGCTTTCAGTAATAAATGGAAAAAAATACAAAAAACCGCTCATCATTGTTTGACCTTGAAAATATTTAAGGCATAGTTTGACATTAAAAATAAGTGAAGACTGTCATTTGCCAACCATTTCCATTCATTTATAGGCCAAAACAATATTAAAATATAATATATTTATATTATAAATAAGAAAAATGTAATGACTACATTATTATTGCCGAAAAGCAGCTGAGATGTGACAAAAATTAAAATAATATGATAAGATAGAGTCAACATGCGTTTTATAGTGTTCTAGGAACAATATTAGGCTAGATATGAAAATGGGGTTTTATAGTGCTCAAAATAAGCTTTAAAATTACACTTAATAGTGCTCAAAATAAGCTTTAAAATAAAATGAGTACTTCTGCGTGTAAAATGAGTGAGCTATCATGCAAATAAAAGACGCATACAAAGTTTTTTCATTTAAATCAGTTTATGACTGCCATTTCCATCAAAATTAAAAATAATCGTATTCCATTTAGAATTAACTTGGTTTGAGAGATTTTGATGGATTCTAGAAAATACCACAACTTTAGTACAAACGATTATAAAAAAAGCTCATGATTTTATGATAAAAAATCTATTTAAAAAAAACAACCAATTTCTCATTATTATATCTCTGACAGAATAAAATATACGTATAAAGGTATAGGTCCTTCAAGGTTTTTTTCTGGCTAATTATTGCTTTTTATAATTTTTCTGTTACACAAATATTGATAGAGTTATGATTGTTTAAAAAATACGCGGCCAGAGTGTCTTTCGAGCCCTTTAACTCTTCGCTGTTGCAAAATAAGCGAAGTTACGGTAAAATTTATGATAAAGAAAGTTGTAGGTCATTTAATTACCTTTAAAATAGTATATTACAAATTCCGATAAAATCAAAATTAAAAGAGTTATTATCCAATTAATGCCGGGGGTGGTGAACGAGTACAAATTGTTTTCACTGCTGAACTTATTTATTAACTTATATTAATATTTCCAAAATATCAAGCAAATTGGAGCAGAGTAAAAAAATTCACAGGACACACGCTTTTTTCCTCTCCATTTGCTGCAATAATTTTGTTGATCGTAGGTTAAATAGAGCACATGTGAACAGTATTTGACAAATTAATTCACTAAGTTATAATGTATATTGAATTATTAGTAAGAAAAATGTAATTTAGATATTAAAAATATTAAAACCCAATTAAAATCATAAAAATTATAGGCAACATTATTGAAATAATTATTTTGGGTAGAAAAATTCAAGGTGATATTGTACCTTTACCGCGCATGCTATATATTAATTCTTTCTGAATTTCTTATACTTTTTAAAAGATTTCAATTTTTAACACGTGTATCTTATGCTATGACAATAAATACATCACAATGACAGAATATGATTTTTTGTGTAATAAATTTGGAAAATCAATGTTTTAGTCGTGAATACACAAAAAATCATTCATTTATACATCCACATCTACAGGTATGACTAAAATATTGTATAAACCTTAAATGCATTAAAATAAATTGGGCTATTAAAAATAAATTTGTTCGATAAATCGCAGTGTATAATTTTTAATGTACAATTTTATTGAACATCATTTAATATTTGATAAAGGGATAATTCAAGTGTTAACTGTGGGAATTGAAAATAATCATTTTATTTGAAACAGTTCTACATTTAATATCACTCATATATTAGTGTAAATAGTAACTCGAAAAACAATAATCATTATTTTTAACTAAACAGAATAAATATTGTCATGAATTCCCTTTCTCATTTATTACTACTCACCTTTATTCATGCTCTAATTTATTATTGTTGTTACATTCGCGGTCTTTCTACAGACTTACCGTAACGTCGCGCTCTTGTAAGGGACTGGTTACTTCAACTACTACTACGAATAAATAAGTAATAAAAAGGCGTTTGTTCGTTACTTAATTAACTAACCTATACTTACACATAATAATCACTTATTCTAAAACATTGCTTATTCTAATATGCAACTTATATCTACACTTATCTGTAACCCACAGCGCAACCAGTGTCCAATACCTGTTCATACATCGGGCCCGATTCACACTAATCACTTAATAATCACATTTATGAATTTACACTAATAATATTGTATAAGTCTACATTCAGTTTGGGGCCAGCTTCCGAAACGCTCCCCCAATGACTCTAGGCTCACATTAAATAATTTGAAACACTTTTATGCGCTGGACCGCACGTTTGCCGACTCAGAAGCCATGCAGGCAACTCACACCCCCGACAACGACTACTTCAAGACTGTTTATGCCGACTACCCGCGAGCCTTCGGACACACTCCTCATCAGGGACATGGTTTACACGCATATAGGAAGAGGGGTAGTTATGTGTTATTTTATATCTGTGGGTGTTCACCCCCACATTCGTAACACTACCCCACCTCCTCTAAAGATCGCCCTAGATCTTTCAAAACTCCATCCCTGGTACCGCACCAGTTTTCTTTGCTTTGGATATTCTAGGTGGCGCACTCTAACACTTGTCTGCTCCCTCGGATGACACGTCGATGGCGCTTTCCCACTTGCCCGATCTGCGGTCTGCTCACCTCCCGTAGGCTAAGATTTTCCTGAATCCGGCATGGCATCTGCATAGGCGTCGACCCCCAGCGCCCCGATCCACAATTCGAGTCGCGATGTTTCAATAAAACGTAATCGTACACGTGCTTAATTTTTCGCTGCACTGTCGAAGTTACTCGTCTACCACAGTTTTCAACTGAAAGTAAGATCACATTAACAGTTTTAACGTTTCTGTCTAAAAAGTGTTACAACCAACAAAAAAAAGAAAAAAACATCACTTAGTCCATTTTACTTATCCATTGTCTTTTAAAACTTAAACTTATTGCTTTCATTACCACCTACATTTTTGGAGACAAATATTTATTTTGCCATCTCCTCAAACATTGAGGAAGTTGCTTTCAGAGATACCTTTGTATAGTGGTATTAATGAGTGTCTTTTTAATACATTAGGTTCAGCTATTTCTCATAAAAAGTATGAGAGTAGCAAATACTGTGTTTTTATTGATGTTTGATGAAATATCACTATCTTCAAAATTGTCATATGATCGTAAAAAGGATCACATTGTTGGTTTTGTAGAACTAGCGAATGGCAGAAAAAGTTTATTTGCGAATCATACACTTGTTTTCATGATAAAAGGAATAAAGGATCGTTGGAAGCAACCAGTTGCTTTCTACTTTTCCGAAGGTGGAGTAAATAGTTCTGATTTAAAATTTCTTATTGTTGATGTGGCAAAAAAGTTATTTAGTTTTAAAGGTTGGTGCCAAAGTTTGCGACCAATATGCGGCAAATTGTAAAGCAGTTAATATGCTTTTAAATGATACAGAAGAATATTATAAAACAAAAAACCTTCACTGGAATAAACTGTTTTTTGAAATAGATGGTCATGAGATTGTACCTTTATATGATCCTCCACATTTGTTAAAGTGTATGCGGAATAATTTTGCTAAGTACAATGTTAAATTTATAGGTTTAGATGGGGACGAATATGAAGCATCTTGGAAAGACATCATAGATTATTATAATTATGATTCTACTTCAAGTATGTTTCGTCGTTGTCCTACATTAACCGAACACCACCTTGATCAAACAAAAATGAAACGTGTGAAGGTCAGTCTTGCTGCGCAAGTATTTTCTCAACGGGTAGCACATGGACTTCAAAACTCCGGTTACCAAGTAGTAGCTGGAAGTGTTACTTCATATGGTACCGGAGAATTTTTGATGTTCATGGACTACTTATTTGATAGTGTCAATGGTTTATCAAAATTGCCATTGAATGGTAAACAATTTTGATGTGCAATTTCAAGTAAATCGGCTCACACTATATTTTGGCGTGAAGCCAAATTAGTTTTGAATTCAATGCAGTTCATAAAAAGCAAAGGTTTAGTTAAAGTTTTAACTAAACCTCCTTGCATTAAAAATTGGATTAGAACGATAGAGGGTTTGAGCTACATTTGGCAGAAATTAAAAGTAGTTCAGGGTTTAAGTTACTTATGCACCAGAAATTTTAACCAAGATCCCTTGGAGAATTTTTTTTGTTGCATAAGGAGTCATGGGGCTTCGAATACTAATCCAAGTTGTTACTCTTTTGTGTCTGCCTTTAGAACTTTGCTTGTCAACAATTTATCATCTCGTCATTCACCTTCTGCTAATTGTGAAATCGATGATATAACCGGGTTATTTGCCACATTTCGAGTGTTTTTGAATAATGAAGATGTCTTGGAAACTGACTCTCTGATCAATATGTCTATTGAGCCGTTTCATTTCCAAGACATGTCATTGTACAGTAAAACTGCTAACGCTTATGTTGCAGGATATTGTACTAAGAAACTTCTCGGATATGTTGGTGAATGCCATGTTTGTACATCTGAACTATTAGCAGATCCAATTGGCAGGGATGAAGTTTCTTGGATTGCATCCAGAGATTACACTGGCCATTCGCTTTTGGTCCCAGGAAATGTATTTATTGATCTATTTATTAAATGCAGTCAAGTACTTGATCATTTCATTATATATTTATGTATTGATGAAAAACTAAAGATCAAGTTTCAAATATTATTAGAAAAACATGTATTATATAATTCTAATTTCCTTTGCCAAAAGCATAATTTAAAACAATTTTTTTTAGATTCATTTATTTTATTTTTTATTAACACTTGGAATAGAAGTGTTAATAGATATCTCACAGGAAAGTATTATATATGAAAATGAGCAGGACCCTATAAAGAGAATGGCTTTAGTCAAATATAAAAAAAGTCTCAGATCTTATAGTGCTCGTTTGAGACACAAAAATCCAAATATTTTTCCGGTAAAAGTTCATTAATTCACATTCGCATCATAATTGTTTATTTATTGTTTCCAATTTTTTATTGCTCTCATTTTTATTTAATATTTTCCTGGTCAATATTCATTTAATGATATTTTCATTATAATTTTATTCATTATTTTCAATTTTTTATGGCTCTCATTGTTATTTTGCTAAACATGTTTTTCTAATTTATTTATAATTGATTTCAGTTTTCGTCAATACTACAATATATGAAGTGGTTTCAGTATGATGCATTTTATAAATATTTCAAGTATTACATCCTGTTACTTGCTGGCTGTGGTCTATGTAATTTCTATATCAATTCAAAGATTCTTTCCTCGATTTAATAAATTGTTGAAAGTAATTTAAGGCAGATTTTTGAAGTAAAACTTCTTTAGGCGCGACATGGGTGTAAAAACTTCTTTAGGCGCGACATGGGTGTAAATCCGTACAAATGCAACGAAAACGCCAACGTGAAGTTGAAGACTACGACGCTAGTTAGCGCAGATGTCGCGAGTATCCACTCCCGTCATGTCATGCGTAAGTCGAACGCTAAACCCTATATGAACTTGCATTAATTGAATCACGTTTTTTTACAAAAGAAGAGGTTGCTGTATTATGTCCTCATGGAAGACTTTTCTTAGGGAATAAATATGTCATAGAATATAATAAATTTATACTGAATCTCGTTGAAGACAAAAAAAGAGTGCGCGTAAGGATCACACGCGATTGAAGTAAAACTTATTTGCAATTATATTGTAGCAAATTTAAGTTGAGTAAAAACAAATACATCATATAAAAATTTTGAATAATATTTATGGCAACACTCGTGATGCACACATTTATTAGTGTCGTCAATCATTATATACATTTATATAATGATAAATTATAAATTATATATTTATGATTACATTAAAAATATGTATAATATTTACAAACAATAATGTAATCAAAGTCGTACTTGAAATATGACATGATCGTTTTAAAGTAATTGCTGATTAATAAATTCTATAATATTCATTCACACAGTGGATTATGTTAAACAACGCCTAATATTGTTTTTGCAAATTAACTCATCCTGTAACAATTGTGTTTGAAGAACTTCATGTAATTAAAATTAACATATATTCATTTACTGTTTGTATTTTTTTACTTTTTCGCTGACGATATAATCTCATTCCTTGAACAGCTGTAATATCCGTCTTGCCTAACAAATTGAAGCCATACTTTTATATTTGTTTTATTTATCAAGCCCTGCACATAGCTTGATCTATGAATCATTTGCTTTTTTATGTGAACGTTAATGCAATGATCATCATCAATATTACGAGGTAATAAATTAACCATATTATTAATGTCAACATGCACATTTATAATTTGGCCAAACATTCCAAATCGTCCATTCGCATGTCGCAATCGTCTAATTTGCATGAAACACAACCTAGGTGAAATTAACCTTTCAGATACAGTATCTAGTTTAGGTAGATAATTTGGTATAGGTGGAAATACAAACCAGTTAAATTTACACAAAGTGGGAATTTTACCCGAATTTAATATCTTTCGACAAGTTTGACATCCAACCTGATTATTTGAATCAATAATCAAAAAACATTATTAAGAATTTGTCTTTGAGCATCATTTGATATTTCTAAGTCACTTTGAAGCCAAAGTCGATCACACACAAAACATACATAGCCAAAGCTATCATTTCTTACGCAGCGCAGATTTTTCCTTAGTTTCATTATTTATTTGCGATCATTTGCACTACAATTATTTATGGGGGACGGGATAAAATATTCTTCCGATCCTGACATTTTTATTAACTCACAAATTATACTGCTAACCCATGTCGCGCCTAAAAAAGTTTTACTTTAAAAAATGTTTAGAGACTACGAGCTAAATACAAAACTCAAGTGAAAGTCGACACATTTTGTTTTGTTTTTGACATATGATTTGACATTTGATGTATTTTTTGTTTTGCTCGCAGACTAGATCGAATAATTGCGATAGCTGCGCTTACTAGCGTCGTAGTCTTCAACTTCACGTTGGCGTTTTCGTTGCATTTGTACGGATTTACACCCGTGTCGCGCCTAAAGAACTTTTTACACCCATGTCGCGCCTAAAGAAGTTTTACTTCAACTAGCTGTAAGTGGAATTCTGTCTTAAGGCAATTAGGGCATCGTGCCTTAAGGCAAATTGCTGGAACTTCCCGTACCAAAAATTATTAATTTTTTAAAAACGATTAATATTTTTGAAAAAAATGTACTTTGAAAAAATAAGATTTTTGAGAAACTATATATATGGACAAAAAATTACTTTTTTTTTTAAAAAAAAATTTAAAAAAAAAATTTTTTTTTAAATTTTTTTTTGAAAAAAAAAAATTTTTTTTAATTTTTTTTTTTTTGAAAAAAAATTTTTTTTTCTTTATTTTGACATATTGTGGAAGATCTGAACTTTCTTTTCAAAGCAATCGTACTGCTTTAATGCAAAGAGACTAAATATCGAAGCGCGTAAGCGCCGCGTCGCTGTCTAACGCATAAGCATTGGTACGGAACCCATAGGAATGTTAACAAAATGTATACTTATTGTTAAAATCTCTATAAAATATCTGATAATTTGATGTGCATATGTCTAATGATCATTTTTGACCGCCAAATGGCTAATTTTTTTACTTTTTCCTCCATATCTCCGAAACCGCTAGACCTACCTTTATGAAAATTTTATCGATTCTTCATCTTGTCAATACAAGTAAAATGTTTTTTGAATTATTTAAATCGGACGCTCCGTTCTCTTAAAAACTGAGTGACCGTTTTCGGCACTTTTTGCCCCGTATCTTCGGAACGGCTAGACCTGCCTTCGCCAAAAACTAATCAGCACGTCTCCTTATCAATACGAATCGAATGTTTTTTGAATTATTCAAATCGGTTGATCAGTGTTCCCGAAATCGTCGACGAAAATTTGTATCCGCACATACATACACACACATACATACATACACACACACATACACACACACATACACACACACATACACACACACACACACACACACACACACACACATACATCCATTTTTTCTAAGGTATGCCAAAATGTTCAGAAACCTTTGAAACGTAAAGATATATAAAAATTTTCATTTTCGATTTTTTTGCGATTACTATAACTTGCCCTACGGGAAGTTAATAATATCTACTGCCACGGATATTTATGTAGGTTGCCATTCGACAGATCAACAATCATACATTCGTCAGCAGTTTCACAAAAAATCGGTTATTGATACCGGGGGTTTGCCGTATGAAATAATTTTAGTTCTGAATAAATTTTACATAATAACAACTAATATTGATGTAAGTGATGGCTTAGCTAATGGTTGTGTAGGAAAATTAGTGTACATAGAACGTGGCGATAATGATGAACTTCTACGTTTATGGTTTGATAGGTAGGAATTTCCTGGTAAGATAGGTAACAAAATTAGGAAGAAAGCTGCACATCATATTCAAACTCTTAATATCAGTAGGACAGCTGTGCCGATTCTCAGGAGATCTTCATCTATTCCAATGAATAGAAATAAAACCATATTTGCCAAAAGAAATCATTTTCCTTTAGTGTCTGCTTGTGCACTCACAATACACAAATCACAAGGTGGTACTTTTGATGAAATTGTATATGAATACAATAAAACACATAATCAGCAGCTTCTATATGTTGCATTATCACAAGTTACCAGCATTAATGGATTGTTCATCATTTCTAAAAACAACGACAAAAAATTTTATCATGGAAGAAAACGGCCAGCAGGATTAATGGACTTACAAACTGAATTCCAAAGACTTTCAACTTGTAGATTAATAACAAAAGAAGAAAAATTGAGTGAGATAATAAGTTTGAACGACATTTCATTGTTTTCAGAACTATTACTGCGTTACTCAGTACAAACGATCCAACTCAAGAACAGGTGGTGTAGCTGTTTATCATTCATGTTCAGATACTCTTCATAATGCGACTCCTATGCAGTTTCTTGCGCCAACAATATTACTGAATATTCCCAATGAAATTACACAAGTAGGTGATATTGCAGTTGTCCGCTGTGTGAACACACAGAATCAAACATCAATTATAGTCGTCCTTTACATTTCTCCCAATAAAAACATATAAAATATTATTAAATTTCTTCATCAGCAGTTACTTCATTTTTCTAATGAGGGTGCAAAACTTTTAAACACTAATCACAACGAGATACCATTTATTCGTGCTGGAGATTTCAATGTCAATTTTCGTTCAGAAGAATCTCAACCATTAATTGATTTTTTAAATAATAAATTTAATTTAACAATGAATAATTCTCGATTTGAATCAACCACAAGATATGGCTCGACTATTGATGCAGTTTTCTCCAGAAATGTACATAGTTTACAAAGCAAATTTTATGTCTCTCATTTCAGTTATCACAAACCTATTATATCATATATGAAATATGATAGCAATTAATCTATCGCTGTTGTTTTAAACTGTGTTATTGATGTTATGTGATTATTAATAAGTGATTTTTAAAATTCAAATATGATGTTTTTTTTATCTTAATTGCCTACTCATACAATATTAAGAGTTTTACTTCAATCGAGTGTGATCCTTACGCGCACTCTTTTTTTTC